CTTAATAGGTATAGGTATATTATAGACTAGAAAAACAGAAACGAATCTATCCCTTGGGAACTGTACATTTTTTCGGGATAAAAAGTAGCCTGTGTGTTATTCTGATGTATGAGCTATATTATTGTAAAGAATCATTAAAATCTATTAAGTAGTTTTTGCGTGAAAAAGTTTTGTTATTCATACATCTATACATCCAGACATCCTCACAAACTTTCGCATTTATAATATTAGTAGGTATACTACTTTTATATTCCAAATACGTTGTGCTATTTTTTTAAATACAAGTGGCAAGTCTAGGAGAGAACAGTGCTAAAGAAAGAAGTTTTTAGTTATTATGTAAATAAATTATTCACATTGTGTAACGCAATACGTGGAAGAAATTCACATATTAAAATATACATTAATTTTTTTAATATATGTAAGTTATTCGCACAGAAATTGCATGTCAAGGTCCGTGCAACTCCTTAATAAGATTATTATCTCTTATGAACCAAGTCCATTGTTTTGCTCGCGCTGAGCCAACTAATTGAATTCTTTAGCGTTGTCTAGCATTTCTGAGACAAACGATTGTTTAAATATTAAAATTCATATTCTTAGTGTTAGCTTAACTATGAGCAGTATGTTTATGCATTCATTTTTGTGTACCATTTATAAATATACGCAATGAATATATGTAAGTCTGTAGAGTATGGACTTGCATACGAGTATCGTCTTATGTTCAATCATCTTATAGTTATTGGTCTTATAAATTATATATCTACGATGATTTAAAAGTCAAGGTAACAGCAGTCGGTAAATATAAAAATATTTTAGTCTTTTTATTTTAAAATATATATATATATATATATATATATATATATATATATATTAATTATAATATAGATCCTTATATTAATACTTTAATGATTACTTGGAAAAGTTTGATTGAATTAAAACAAAATGCCAAGTACAACAATATAAAATTATTATTTGTTAAAAGGTCACCTTTCTCGTCATAAATGAACTCGTAAATAATCAACGCAACGGCTAATTGAACATAGTACGCAGCTCGAAAAATAACCTTAACTAAAGTCACGACGCGGCCTCCATGCTTGCTCACATTAAAAACCCTTCTATTGTTATCATTTTTATTATTTATTAGCGATTACTACCCTCGCATCGCTCAAGTACATGAGCCGGATTTAACCTTAGCGCCTCCCCTGGGCTCTAAAAAATGCCGCCCTATTTTCGAAATTTTGAATAAAATGTTGAAAGTTTAATTTTTTTAAATTGTTTTTAGATTTTTTGACAAACGCAAAAAAATATTTTATAAATGATACCAATTTTAAGAAAAATATACTACTACTTAATCTTTGTTTTTCATTGTTTGGAAGATTAAAAAAGCATTTTCGATAACGCGAATTTTTTTTTTACCGCCCCTAAAAATTTGCCGCTCTGGGCACTAGCCCCGAGTGCCCCTAGTGCACTGACTGATATATATGTGCCTAACAATAGCCTATGTATTACTCCAGGTAATCTATTTATATACTAAACTAGCAGTACCCGCGGCTTTGCCCGCGTTTAAACTTCCGATATAAACATCAGTTTTACAATAATGTATGGAAGTATGGCCGATTTGTTGACATTTATGATTACAGCTCCGCTTCCTCAATAAACGGGTTATCTAATGCAATTTTTTTTTCAAATCGGATTAGTAGTTCTTGAGATTAGCGCGATCAAACAAACAAACTCTGTCTGTTTATAATATTAGTAGAGATTTCATTCAAATCTATCTAACCATTTCAGCGTGAAGGAGCATATAGGCTGGATTTTTTTAGATATATGTTTGATCAAAGACTTAAATCGTGTTAATAAAATAAATTGACTTTGAAAGTATACGTTTTATAGAGTTAGGGAGTGACATTGTGTTTGCGCACTTGTGGACTATATACCAACCAAGTTTGGTAGGCTCAGTGAGATTGGCTGCCGTGGCTGAAATCCGTCAGGGGGACAAGTTATACATGTATAAAGTTATTATTTTTATTGTATTTATAAAAAAAACATTAATTTGATCTTAAATGAATATTTTGCATATTTGTATTTTTTATTATTTTACAAAATTTCTATACTTCAGAAGTTTATCAGTATTTATTATTTAACCAAAAAACTTAAACCTAGAATAGCACGCTATTTTGTAACAAGAAGGATAATTGCTTGTTGCGCACATCTTTAAGATAGCTTTATACATATAACGTTGTTTATTACGAACAATACATACTTCAAATAATAATTGTGAATTTCACTTAATGAATCACTTATGATGCAATTTTACAGTTATATAAAATAAGTAATTAATTTATACAATGTGTGTGTAATGTACAATATATGTACATACCTATATGTATGTAGGTACTTAGTAATACCACAGTACAAAGACAAAGGTTGTGCTATTACCATAGTTCTAAATATTAATAATTATAAAATAAATTAAAATATATTCTATTATTTATTAGATTATATAAAAAAAACTAGCTAGAGGCTAAGCGAACCAGGTTGTTTCTCCATACAAACTTTTATCTGCTTTTTCTTTTTGCCCTGAACATTTGCCATTAATTTTCTCCCCTTAAGGGATGAAAAGTATCCTATGTCCTTCCCAGGGTCTCAAACTATCTTCTTACCAAATTTCATCTAAATCGGTTCAGTAGATCCAGAGAAATTCCCTACAACCTCACAAACTCACAAACTTTACCTCTTCATAATATTAGTAGGTATAGATGTGAGATGAAATTAACTTTTATCATTATTAGAACAAAATCAATTTTATTAAAAGAAAATAAATTATATAACAATATTGACTATACAGTTGAAGAAAAATTTGTGTGTTACGATATGCTATACATATACCTAATTCGTAACTAATTGCATTTTTCAATAATTTTGCATCACTCTAACAAAACCATTCAATATTGATACTTGATAGTAATATGGCAGATATTAAACAGTAGTTGCTAACTCGTTAAGAATCGTTTAATTTCTATGAGTAAAATGTGACGACGACGCACCATAATGAGTTAGCGTTACAACGATTATTGCCTTATTGGCAAGACCATCAATCATTCAGCCAAGATATAAATTGCAATAGTATTTTAATATTTAGACAAAATGCAATTATTGTTCGAAATTCGAATTCAATGTTATAGCCCTGCAGTTCTCAAAAATGATGACAATCAAGAGCTGGCATGGCAATTTATAATTGAAATATCGCGGTAATGAGATAAGCTCTTACTAAGTTGATTTCATATTTATATTGGATTTGTTAAACTTATGTTATACCAAGAAAGCGACTTTTTAAATATGTACTAAATGCTTATTAATATGTAGAAAATAAAAAATCGGTCAATTGCGAGTCGCATTCGCATACGAAGGGTTCCGTACCATCGTACATATACTTTCTATTAATATTACTTTTACTATATCTATATAGTATATTAACTTCGATGATCGATTCCGAACGTTAAAAAATATATCTTGTATTTTTATTTTTTACTATTTGTTGTTATAGCAGCAATAGAAATACACGCTCTGTGAAAATTTCAAGTCTCTACCTATTAAGGTTTATGTGACACACAGCCCTCTGACAGACGAACGGACGGATGGACTGCGGAGGCTTAGTAATGGTATTCCGTTAGCATCATTCAGGTTCGGAACCCTAATAAATATCTACAATCATTAAAAGTACATTTTTCTTGAACTATTTATTATACATTAAATGTGGTAATTTGTACGTACGTGTGGTAATTTGTGCATAGTTATGTACAGTGACAAAGTTTGAGTAATAGCTTATACTTAATTAGCATACCTATTGGTGAATAAATATTTTTAGATTATTAGATGATATTTATAGTCATGTTCTTTCAATAGAAGTTTTACTTTGAATGTCGTGTAATTAATGAGCAATGTAAACATATTAAAAGTTAGCTATTCCTAATTTTTATTTATGAACTAGCCACTCACCCTCGCTCCGCTTGGGTTCGTCCCTAGATAGGTTTTAAATTTAACGGTTAGTATAGATTTCTCAGAGATGAGATATTGTTCCGCAGTAAAAAGTATCCTATAGGTTGACTCGGATTACCAGCTATCATCATACCAAATTTCATCAAAATCCCTACAATGATTTTTCTGTGATGCGATTATAGACAGATAGACAAAAATAATAAATGTACCGATTTTAATCAATTAGAATTTTATTATATGTATAGATGAAATTTTTAAATATGAAACTTGTTCTTTATTAACCTTAAACAAAATGCAACATACAACATAAATGTTCCTTACAAGTTACAACTATAACATTGATTACGACAGAATTGCTTTGCTGTATTTAGTTTGCAATAGTTTTGAAAGGAAACAATTGCAATAGATAATTACGGAACACTTAATCATTATTCTTATTAATTTTAAACACTTGATAACAGTAACTCGTTTTTATTTCGGGAATCCGTATTAATAAATATATCAGTGTGTGAATTTGTTTACTTTATTTTCACACTCCAATTAATCAATAAGTTAATCTATTTTTATGCATAGAGATATTATACGTGGCATAAGATGAAAATAATAGCACATTGTAAATTAGTAAAGAGTTAAGTATCTTGCAGGTTCTAGGTGATGCTGTAGCATTAGGTATTGAAGTTACGGGATACAAAGTTTCGGATCGATTAGATCTATGAAAGTTTCTTATATCGTTTTACCGTCTAGAAAAGAGCTGATAGCCTACTAACGGCTGAACGGATTTTCGTGATTTATAGCAAATTAAGAATACTCGATCGAGTCACATTTCAAACAAAACAAACTAAATTAAAATCGTCCGTCAATCATCAATCATTAATCCGTTTGGGCGTTACAACGCCACAGACAGATATACAGATACGCACGTTAAACTTATAACACCTCTCTTTTTGCGTCGGGGTTTAAAAACCAATAATATAAAACAATGCGTATAATTACGTGTTTGTTTGCAGGTAAAAATGCCATCGCTTTTGGAGGCACTCGAGCGCAAGTATGGCGCTAAGGGCGAAGTGAACCCTTCTATAGATGACATGCCAGTTGCGATATTTGTGCCGAAACGATCGCCCAGACTTAGCGTGCCCACGTTACTGGTATTGAATGACTGCGATATTGACTGCGCGGGAGACGCTAGTGCCTTAGCCGACAAGTGTGCAGATGTAGTCGAGCTAGATCTTGCCCATAACAACCTGACTGATTGGAGAGAGGTAAATCATTTGTATATGCATGAGTACCTATATTTTTAGAGTAGAATAGAATTGTATTTGATATACTTAAAAGCCATTGATATATAAAAACATACATACACATTTCCTAACAAATATCTCTTCAAAAACTGGCGTCGACATGTGACAGTCAACCCAAAGTATAAAATACAAAAATCGAAAGTTCTGTCTAAACACAAATTCGAACTTACACACACCACATAAAATACTTCTTTAAAGGAAACAACGTGAGTTTTAAATTTTAATTTTGTCATCCGAACAGCATTGAACGAAAGAGATTTGGAAAAAATGCATAATTTCGAATTGTGCGCTTTTTTATGAAGACACTTTTAAGACACTAATTGTGTATCTTGAGTTTTTGCCTATCAATAATTTAAAAGTTATAAAACAATAAAACAAAGAAGTGAATTAAATGTTAAATTGAATATTAATATTATTTAAGTTTTGCTTTATGTCCTTAACCTTTAGGGTAGGCCGAATTCATTCTGTTTATTTATAACAAATTATTTAAATTTATTTCGATTGCTAAACACGTGTAATTGTATGGTAATTAAATTGCCATTAAGAAATTTTATTCTGAACCTAAACTTCCTCCACAAAACCGGAGCAATGACAAATACTCGTTATTATAAAAACTAGAAATATAAAGTAAGTACTTAATGTTTTGCTACTTTTAGGTATTTGCTGTATTAGAGCAGACTCCACGTGTTCGGTTCCTCAATTTAAGCTTCAACCGACTTTCCGCACAAATCCAAGCCGCGCAAGCGCTCAACCCACGCTGGGACAGCCTCAGTCATCTCGTACTAAACTCCACTTATGTCGGTTGGCCAAGTGTACTCGGACTACTGAAGGCTCTACCAGCTCTAGAAGAACTGCATTTGAGTCTTAATGAGTATTCCTATGTGAACTTGAATGGGAAAGAGGTCGATGAGAAAGATATTTGCGAGGGATGCTCACGACTTAATTTAGACTTAGACTCGACTGAACCAGTCCACGAACAGTTAAAACAACTCCATTTTTCCGGAAACCCCATTAGTAGCTGGCGAGAAATTTCAAAGCTAGGTTATGCTTTTCCGAATTTGGAAACACTTTTGGTCAATGACTGCCCCTTAACGACGCTAGAGCCAGATCCGTGTGAAAAATGTGACGATAGTAATGGAAATAAAAAATGCCATGATGCCTTCCCGTAAGTATTTTTTATAATAAATATATAATGTGTTAAGCAAACTAGTCTAGACGAATTGACTTTTTACTTTATCTTTTAAGTAGGTACTTACTATGACTTAATTATTTTTATGCAATTAACGTAATCATATATTCTTTAACCTAAACAATAATTTCAACTATATATTATGACGCTTATCTAAAATTCAATGTCATATTTATCAGCGCGTGGTAAATGTATTTCATAATCATCATTGACCCACTAGACCTATAGCTTTGATATGACATGTGCAGCGTATATATTAACGTCTTAGCTGCCTCGGTGGTGTAGTGGCTAGCATGTACGGCTGCACATACGGAGGTCCAGGGTTCGAGTCCAGGGTCGGGCCAAGTTGAGTTATTGAGTCTTTCTCTTTAGTAAGTCTCAGTAACAGCCCGGAGTTGGGAAGTTAGCGGTGTTTCACCCCCGTGTCTAACAGAGCACGTAAAGCCGTCGGTCTTGCGCCTTAACTCTCACCGGTCGTGTCGAGCAGTCTTCCCATCGGAGTATGAAAGTGACAGGAATAGAGAGTGCTCTTGTGTCTGCGCACACACTTGTGCATTATAATATCTCCTGCGCAGATGGCTAGTCTCAATGAGATTAGTCGCCGAAATCGGTCTGGATTCCTCCAGACCTATAAAAAAAACAGAAAATGTCTATTCCTGTTACAAAAATATATATTAAAATTATATATTTACAACTTAATTGTATAATTTTTAATTATTTTTTGTAATTAACGACCTCGTATTTTTTTACGTTTTAGGAAATTGTGTTGAGGTAATTTTATTATTTTCAGGCACCTCCGATTTTTAAATTTAAATAACACCGGTCTCGCGACGTGGGATGAAGTAGACAGGCTTGCCAAGTTCCCCGCTCTCAAGAGTTTACGAGTGCAAGTAAGTGATTTCTCTTACGTACTCGTATGTACGTCTTATCTTCTGAGGTTTAAACCTGTTGTTATTTGCATCCATTCCGCGTTGTGAGAAAATTGCACTAACAATTAATTGTATAGCGTAATCGTCCTTCAGACGTAAAAGCAAAATGCGTATTGAATTTTAACATACTTAATAATTATATTGAGACGCTTCCGCATAGAGTCTGGGATGTTTATTCGACATGAACCTTGCAGAATTTAACATCATGTAAACAGTAACGTACCTATAGTAAACTAGTATATTTTTAACCGATGAAAAAAGAGTTTCTCAATTAGACACGTAGGTATATATTTTTTATGACGATAGAATTTTCCAATCCAAAATTGAAACCTTTTTTTTTTGCACCCTCGCTTTTATTAGTTCATTTATGTATATTACTATATATTAATAAATTATAACTTTTGTTACTCTGATAAATAAGCTATATTATTGTAAAGTTTCATCAAAATCCATTTAGTAGTTTTTGTGTAAAAGAGTAACGAACTTACATCCTCTCAAACGTTCGTCATTTCAAATTCTAAACTAAATTGAACGATTTATATTATATTTTAAATAGTACTATGTCGCAGTTTCTCATAGCAATAGGCTATATAATTATCTGGCATCCATTATTGCAACTGCAAACTCGATCACTCGCGCCAATCATTACATCATAATTATGCGTTTAGAGCGTCTCCGGTACAGACATCGTAAATGATTGAATATTTTTTGCTTATCGTTTCGGTTTGGTTTTACTTGGATATATTTTGTTTAAAGTTATATTATATGAACTTAGTAACTTTTTTCTAAATAAAATCTAATTGATATACATATATATATATATATATATATATATATATATATATATATATATATATAGATATATATATATATATATATATATATATATATATAAGCAATATTCATAAGTCTCACGTGCACGACAAACGTGAAGGTCGGTTAACTGGTTAGTTACATAGATATGAATATCAACAACTGATACATGCTGGAATTGTGCATTTGTAACATAATTAGAATAACAATACTTTATCTACATGTTTGTTTATTAAAAAGTTTTAAAAATGTCAAAAATCTCTAAATTCTTTTGCTTTTATTATAATTTAAGCCTGCACAATGAAAACACAAAACTAACAAAAAAAATTAAATGATAATATAGTCGTTTACTCTTTTGCCCCGACTGTACACTGTGGGTAGACATTAAAACATTGTATAACGTAACGCACGTAACGTCCCTCGGGAGCACGAAATCATATAGGTGAAGGTCTTCTGTATATAGCGCCGTTCCACTTAGTGCTAGCTCTGTTTCGTAACCTCACCGAATCTGATTCCCTTTCATATTCAACAGAGTAAATCGTTAAGAATATTATATGTTACATTGTAATGCATTTGCTGGTGAATTATCATTAAATTTTGTAATACGCAGAACGTGAATTATAACCTTCAATTGGTTTTTTTTTATGTTTCATTTGTCGTCTTTGAAACCATCTGCCGTTCTATATCTAGAATCTAGACGTAGTTTGTTAGTAGTACAGTATTATGATTGTTGGTAGTGTTGTTTGTTTGTAGTACATTGGCAATATACTCGTATACTTATTACAATCCACGTAGAAATAATCCTCACACACAAAAAGTTTGTAGTAAAAAATTTGTAGTGTGTAGTCATACCGTTGTCATTTTGTTGTGCGTATTTTTTTTTTATTATTAAAGCACCCCTGACACACCACCAACAAAAGAATTAATTGTTCAAACCGGTCCATTTTGGAGTTTTAGCGAGACTAACGAACAGCAATAGATTTTTATGTATGTATTTATACATATAATACGCGGTTCACATTATTCCAGTCCAGTAATCCAGCGAATCAATTCAGTCCAGTGCTGGACTGAATCTGTCGCTTACATTATTCCAGTCATTCAAAAACTACGTTGAATCGGTAACACTAGTGATAATGATTTCAAGGAAGCGGATCGAAAATTGTTTTAAAACTATTATTTTACTACTGTTAGAATGAGTAACTGCAATGGAAGAAGAACTAGGAAAATAAAAACGGATTTGTATGAGAAATTGGATAAGTGAATATAAAAATTCTGTGTAGGTATAAAAAAGAAACTAGTGTTTGGTTTTCAGTCAACTTCATTGTTAGGAATTGGAACTACAAGAATTCTTATTTCCAAAAAACAACAGTTGCGTGTTCACTGTTCAGCGTTTAATCCAGCACTGGATTGGCCTCTGGACCAATCCAGGAGTCTAGTGGGCAACTGGACTGGCCCTAACTGGATTGACACTATTCCAGGGGCCCTGGGATGGTCGAGCTGGAATGGAAAAGTAGACCGTCAATCTAATCACTGGACTGGATTGCTCACTGAAATGAGTAAATTCCAGTGCTGATTTACATTATATTCCAGTGGCATTCCAGTGCTGGTATTGATCGCTGGACTGGAATGCTACTGGAATAATGTGAACCGGGCTTAAGAAGTTGTAGCTACACTCGACGTCTCGTGAAACACAGAAAAGTTAGGAAACAGGAATAGTCAGTTAGGAAAAGAGCTATTTTATTGTCTGTACAAAGCACGAAGTAGTTCTGAAAAGAACTGTTTGACGAGTCAAATACAATGAATAGATACTAATTGTTCTAATAATAAGCCAATTTATGATATTATAGCACCACAGGAGGCCTTGGATTCCTTTTATCATATCGTATTAGATTAATGTGTATTTCCGGTACATTCAATTCATTATTTACTTTACATGTTAAAAATAAAGTTTTATTTATGCAATTTCGTCAGGGCTGACCGCTTCACGCTAGAGAGAACGTGAAAGTGTTTCTGTTTGTAGGTAGCATTGTGTGTTTTATCATATTCGCTCTAAATGACATACGTTATTATTAACACATGTGCTTTACGTAATTACGTTTAACGCCTTAAATATTATAAAAGCCTTATGTACAATTTAATTTTTGAAATTATTATTATTTTATAATATACTAGCGACTCACCCTCATGCGACTGCCCCATACAATCTTTCATCCCCATTTTCACCGTAAAGAGATGATTTCCCGTATAAAAAATATTCTATGTCCTTCGCAGGGTCTCAAACTATCTTCTTACCTAATTTCATCTATATGGATCCAGTAGTTTTTGAGTTTATTCGTTACAAACATACAAATTTTTCCTCTTTATAATATTATAGATGTACTGCTACTGACATTATGTTACAAAATATTTTTAAACTTATGACAACATACAAAATGTAGAAATCTCTAATGATGCTGTTACCTCGAGCGAAAATAAAAAAATGAATATTTTGTATACATACGTACAATTCTGTATACGTGAGAGAGTACAAGTTAAATTTTAACGATACAACAAATTTGAAGTATTCCTACCTGTTCTATAAATGTATGAGGTAGGCATTGTTTCAGTGAATGAGAAAGAAAAACAAAATATGAAAAGGGGTTCGACCGGTGATTCATACTAAAATAAAATTATGCGTCACTATGCAGTTCGTTCACTTGCAATTTATATTGCCACTTGCTGACCTTCCGTGTATTGCATTACCTTTCACAATATATGCTCATCTCGAGAAGAAAGAATTGTAACTTGGCATTATAAAGATTAGATGTAAATTTTTTGAATTGCGCTAGTACCAGTTGTAAACGAACAAAAGATTCTACATTTTTTCATTATTCATAATTTCCTCACTCACCTCATTTAAAAATCCGTGAATTAGCCAATTTATCTAATGGAGTGGAAACCAACGCTTGTATTCAAGTCCATATATTCATATGGGTATTAAGTAATAAGTATATATTTAGAATGCATAATATTTCGCAGTTAGAGTCGTGTTCAGCTGACTCGCTTCGAACAATGTTTATTTGTAGAAATACACAAGTGGGTAGAGTTCTACACCGCGTATGAAAATTCATGTGGAATTCTGTTATAAAGTTACGATTTGATTAAAACTTCGCGGTAAAGTTTAAACGCAAGTAATGCACTTTATGTAGATTTTGTATGCAAATATAGATATTTTTTTGGTAATTAACACCTCCAGGTAAATTTCTAAGAAATTAATTAAATTTCTAAGAAATCTATTGTTAACTGTAACGCCGGCGTGTCCGCGGTCGTTGAGGGGTTAATGCAATGCATATATATTTTTACATGGCATGCGGAAAATTAAGTACTATTGACAGTTAATTGGATTAAGATTTACTTTATTAACGGGTAAAGGCCGTTCCAGTAATTGCTTCGCCTGTGAGTGGCTGCAGTCCACTGTAATTGCAAATCTAAGCGTTGCCTCAATTTGCTAACCAAATCCGCTTACTTTTATAAATTTAAAGATGTAATCTTTTTCTAATGGGAAATTTTGCATTAATATATTATATACTTTGTCCTGATTTAAGTATTGTAAGTCTAACTTCACCAAACTCGTTTATAAAGATTTAGTGCATTTTTTATTATTCATTTTGAAACTTTTACGATGAACTTTCTGCTACGTTGCCATTTTAAATCGCACTTGACCTATATACTAGCACTGCGGCCATTTTTATTACCAACTATAAAATTAACTGTTGTCCTTGTTTCAATAAAATCATTAAGGATAGAAAGCTAAACATTCATATTTAGTATCCTTTTGCATTAAAATATATTTTTTATTTATAAGTATATTACATTAAAAATACCTAATCATGATGGAATAAAAATTAAGTATTATATTTTCCAACGCAATATAATACTTTAACAGAACTATTATGTCTAAATGTTATTATAATTAAGTGGTCAAATACTCACTGAGATACAAAATATAAATCAAATAATAAAGCAAAGTATGAAAACAAAGGATAAAGGATATATTTTAAAGTTAACACATAAGTTCTCTTTAATAAGATATTCAGACTAGAGTTTGCTCATAAATTGATCTTACAATGACGTAACTTGGTTATCCTTGACCTTTATCAACAGAGATT